GGGGGGGGGAGGAATTTTTTGGCGTGGAGGGGCCTTCGCTTCCGGCGAACTCCAACCTAGAATTTCTAAACTCATATTTTGAAGAATTATTTTTGGGTTTATTGCATTTCCGGTCGTTTATTTATGCAGTTAAATTTTTTTTTTTTGAGAGGAATTTTTTTTGTTTCTCGAGGGCTAATGAGACTGGCCTTTGGTGAATTTTTAATTTTTTTAGAGGCGAGAGGGGTGGGAGGTAAACAATTGTTGGGAATTCATGGAAAATTGATTTTGAACAAGCGATTTTTTTTTTCAAACGAGACCTGTTTGAGAAAATTTGAAGTAAATTATAGACGAGAGTTTTTTACTTTTTTGGAGATTAATTTTTGTTTTTTTAATTTGAGGATTAATGAAATTAGTTCTTGGTAAATTTTTAATTGTTTAGGGAGGGCAGAGGGTTGGGAGGTAAACAATTGTTGGGAATTTATCTCGAAAAATCCGGAGAAATGAATAAAAATTCTATTATTTAAAAAAAATAACTAAAGGAAGAATGATGAAAAAATTTCGAAGCTTTTGAAGATTAAAATCGCAAATAAATTCCAACCGAAAGTTGAAATGACTAGAAATATTCTGATTGTTTGTGCTTGATTAAAATCTAGAAAACAACCTCAAAAAATCCGAAGAACTATGTCGAAACACCCTAGTCCACGCGAGACTATTATTTTTAAAAAATAGCTGAAGAAAGAATTTGATAAAATTCCCAAAAAAGTTTATCAATAATCAATAATCCTTTCTCCCTTCCAAATTCATTCCCCCATCCCATCCACCCCACTTAAAATTCCACACAGAAAAAATTAAAAAAATTGAAATAAAAAAAAATTGTTCACGCCTTAAAATTCCCAGGACGCCCACAACTGCTGCATATCGTTCGACCCCAACACGTCCCTCTTCGCAGTGTACGACGGCCACGGTGGTCACGAGGTGGCGACCTACTGTTCCCAGAAGCTCCCAGACTTCATAAAATCCACCGATTCCTACAAGAAAGGCGACATACCCCAGGCCCTGATCGACGCATTTTTGGGTTTCGACGCGACCCTGGCGACACCCGCGACAGTGTCAACCCTGAAAAAAATAGCGGGTTCAAGCCTCCCAGAGAAGGAGCCCACAGACTCCTGCGACTCCTCCGAGGAGGACACAATAACAAATCTCCGAAAGGAGGCGGAAATGCCATTGGAGCAGGTGATGTTGAAATACCAAACAGAAACCGATAAATCCTACCGAGGTATAGCCTCCCCCTTTCTCCGATGTCGTCGATCAAAACCAAGCTGTTCATCAGGGAGTTCAGCTGGCTGTTCCACATCATCGACAAACGAATCAGACGTCTCGAGTAGCAGTGCAACGAGTGCAGACGCCTCAGACACAAAATCACTGGACGAAAGTGGTGAAAAAAAAAGTGAACCAGGAAGCAGTGATTCCGATCAACTTCTGGACTCAACGAGCAATGGTGACGATTCCCATTCAGCTCCAGTCATTAAAACAGACATGCCAGACAGTTCTGAGGACGCAGCTGACAAAATTGATAGTAAAATATCATCCAATTCAGAGATGAATGGAGAAGACAAGAAGATTTCCACCCCTGACAGCAGCAAGACAGACAATGTCTCGTCGTCTTGCAACTCTTTTGGCAATGGTGATGCTGATGATGTCGAGGGCATCTCCAGCAGCAGCATAAAGGCCATTGGTGAGCACATCTACAGGGCTCTGCTGCAGAGAACAGTGGACGATGGCGAGGAATCTGACACTGACGACGAGGAGGACGAGACCTTCAGAGGGGGAATGGTGGAGGGAAGCGATGATGATGAGGATGAGGAGGATGATGATGATGATGAGGTGGAGGACGAGGAGAGTGAGGTTGACGACGAGGAGGACGAGATGGATGATGATGATGGGGAGTTCAACATCACTGAGGAGCCAGGGGCTGACAGTGGCTGCACAGCTGTGGTGGCTCTACTCCAGGGAAATGAGCTCTATGTGGCGAATGCCGGTGACTCCAGGTCAGTAATAGCCATATTCGTAAATCATAATTACGGTTGAATTTTCAAGTCGTCAATTAACATCAGTCTTAAATTTTTAATTATTTATGTGACACATATTACCCCCATGCGATGCCCACATGACCTTCATGATCCTTATTGTGACCCTTGTGACCTTTAATCTGACCCTCGTGACCCTTATTGTGACCGTTAATTTTGGAGTCTTCATTTCGAGTACCAAATTTTCATCACCAGAAGTCGATTTGGATTTTCATAATATAAAGAAATATAAAGGCTCTTGATGTGACCCTTGTGACCCTCAATTTTTGACCCCCATGTCCCTTATTTGGACCTTTAATCTTGTGACCCTTATTCGGATCTTTTTTATCCTTATATTTGGACCCTTGAATTGACCCTCAATTTTTTCTGCCCCTTGTCGCCCTTAATCTAACCCTCGTGACCTTCACTCTGGCCCTTGTGAGCCTTAATCTGATCCTTTCGACCCTTATTTGGACCCTTAAACTGTCCCATAATTTTGTAAACCTTATTCTGACCCTTGTCGCCCTTAAACTAACCCCCATGACCCTTATTCTGACTTTTCTGAACCTTAACCTGACTATTATGACCCTTAATTGGACCCTCGTGACCCTTGAGCCCTTTAATTTTGGAGTCTCAATTTCGAGTACCAAATGTTCATCACCAAAAGTCCATTTGGATTTTTATAACGCAGAGACCTCATTCAGCTAAGAAGATTGACGATTATTTGACTATTCGAAAATCCCTGTTAGAAAATCAGAATTATTTACTCACTGAAAAATTTACAGTTCCATCCTATCAAATATTTCATTCACCATCAATCAAAAATTTAAACTATTAATATTGTACTATGTTAAAATTTTGATGAGTAGATTCAAACTTTTATCGATGTAAGTCGGAAATTCTTTGAATATTGAAGAAATATAATATTGATGGCCATCCCTGTTCCAGGTGTGTCCTCTGCAGGGACGGTGAGGCCATGGAGCTGAGCCTGGATCATAAACCAGAGGATCAACCGGAGATGGCGAGAATCGTGAAGGCTGGGGGAAAGGTCACGTCTGATGGAAGGGTCAATGGGGGACTTAATCTCTCTAGGGCACTGGGGGATCATGCTTACAAGCAGAACAGTGCTCTTCCTCCTGAGGAGCAGATGATATCGGCCCTGCCCGACATCAAGAGGGTCACCATTGATCCCAAGAGGGATGAGTTCATGGTTTTGGCGTGCGATGGTATATGGAATTTCATGTCTTCGGGGGATGTCGTCAAGTTTGTGAGGGAGAGGCTGAAGAACAGCGGGGAAAATATATCCAAGATCTGTGAGGAGGTGAGATTGTTTGGGTTTTAGGCTATTTTTTTTTGAAATGATGAAGAAGTATTTGATTATTGGGGCTGGTTCGAGGGATGGATGGACCAACGAAAGGTTATTCTCAATTATTGAGTTCATAATGAGCCCAATGATATTGAAATCGAGTGAAACCAGTTTCTCAACGAATGACTCTTGATATTTATTCAATCGATGAATTTCAGTTGTGCTCCATTCCCTAATCGTTTTTCATTTTTTTCTCCAGCTTTTCGACCACTGCCTGGCACCAGACACAATGGGGGACGGTACAGGCTGCGACAATATGACAGCTGTAATCGTAAAATTCAAAAATCCATCAGCACCCGAGACCCAGAACAACGGTGACACCGAGGAAACCCGAGTAACAAAGAAGAGGCCCCTTTCCACCGAAAGTACCGAAGAAAATTCCGAAGTCAAGAATGATCTACCAATTGATGAGTGTAAACGTGCAAAAATGGAGGCAGTCTGAAGGGAAGAAAATGAATTCAATCATAAACTCGATACCCTCGACTGTCCAAAAGTGAATGTGAAAGTTTATAATTTCATTTATCATTATTTTCTCTCCTTTTGAATGAAAAAAAAAAGTAATCTTAATGTTTCTGGACATGCAGTTATGCAAGTTTATTAACTTGATTAATGTAATTAGTGTTTTTTCGGGTATTCGTGATGATTATTATCGTTAAGGAGCACATGAGCACACTATTTCCCTCGTCATTCAATTTTTTCTGCAATTTTTTTACGTTTAAAGCAGAGGCTGAAGCCACAAAGGCCTAAATTCGTAAAAATGGTAAAATGTATTTCGTAATTGCCTGATTATCTCGGTAACGAGTGGCTCCACCAAAAAATATCATAGGGCCTTTTATGCGGAGATTTGAATTTCCAACAAAAAATGTCTCTCGACATTGACCCCTAAATCCACTCATTATCGAGATAATTCAACGTTTAATAAATCGAAAAATTGTATCATTCCATTTTACCAGTAAAATCATCCCAATTAATCGAACAATTAACGCATTCAGGTAATTAATTTTTTTTTCAATTATAAATCGACAATCATGAATTCAATTTCTTGAGCCACTATTTTCATACAACCACTCATATGCTCCAAAATAATTCATTAATTGTTAAGTTACACTTAATTTAGGAGGTGTAATAGAAATGTAAATATTTGAGATGAAAATTGAGCAGAAAAAAATGATAAAGGATACGAATGAATAAAATAGAGCATAGGGTTTATATTTGTAACGAGGACACGATATCATTTTTTTTTTCATTTCATCAACGAGAAATTGAAATTTTTTTCCTAGGAAGAAGTAAGTCAGTCGAACAATTTGACGATTTTGGGGATGAGGGGGCACCCCTCAGTATCCAGGGATAAATACCCCTGAATAAAAACCCTGTATGCCTTTTAGAAAATGAAAACGACATCTGGAGAATTTCAAAGATAGAAACATTTTTTTTTTTATTTGTGGGTAAATTTCCCTGGTTATGGAATTAAATTACTCACATAAAAACCTGATTGATAGTTTCTGAAATGAACGAATGTTTTTAATAAAAATTACGAAAACCTGAAATTTTTTTTTATGGAATTTATTTCCTTTCAATTGATTAGTTAATTTAAAAAATCATTGTTGCATGTTTCAAGGGTGATTGACAGTCAATTTAATTAATTAATCAACGAAGTGGTGAAGTGAGAAACAGGAGAATTTTACATTAGAATAAATCATTCCTAACAAAATCGTCATTATCTCGGAATCTAAGAGAAACTACGAAATTCTTGTTCATGCAGTTTTTGTGGAGAATTTCAAGAGCTTCAAAAACTATCCGACGATATTTCCGGCATCTCTTCTAGATTCAGAGATGTTCAACAAAAACTATTGCAAAGGCGTTTCACCACTTGATTAAATTCCAAAGTTCCCTTCAAGTAATTTGCGATTATTAATTAATTAAACGTTAAAAATCCGAACGAAACGAATGAACATTTGGCAGAAGAACAAGACGTGCCTTCGATACCCTTTCCGTCCTTGATTTCCATTTTTTCGACATTAATTCACCCAAAAAAAAACGATTGTGTCCGCGATTAGAGATGAAATAAAATAATAATCCATTAATTCACTGTTAAATGCTCGATTGTCTCCAACTGCTCCTGCTCTATTCTTCGTAACGAGTCGTACTGAATCCTCAGACGCTCCAGTTCCATAGTTTTTTCGATAATCAAAGCCTGAAATTTTATTTAAATTCTCCTTTGATTGAGTTTTGGAAATTTTCAGTTGATTTTCTACCTGAATTTTTTGCTTCTGAGCCTCTCGCTGCTTCGATACCGATCGCAGAAGATTCCTAGCACCTATTGTCCTCATCTTCTCTCGCTCAACCTCATTAGCAAGACTATCGAGCATCTCGATGAAATCATCGGAATTTTTTTTGAATTCTGTTATTTCTAAAATTGAAATTTCAAGTGTTTTTCAAGGGAATAAAATTTGAAAGGTCGCTGTGAAGGCCTGAATCATCAATCTAAAGTGCTTTGGTGGATTTTTTTAAAGTACAGTATCTCAGTGAACCCAAAAATGCGATAAAAAACTCAAACAGTGCAGAAGACGATGTGAAACGTGAACTCCAGTGGCTTTCTTTGCGAAATAAAAATCGAAAAAATTAGTTTTAGTGTTCTTGGGGAGTCTGAACTATTCTTCAGTACCACCGTGAATTTTCTGAACCCTTGAATCCACATCTAGTCTCAAAACTTAAGCAAAGAGGGAAAAAAATCCTCAAAAAACACGAAAATTTAAGAAATAATTGATTTTTCCTTAAATTAATAATTCTAAAAAATTCTTTCTGTATTTTTCCAGGGTCTGGACCCCTCCCTAATATCCGAGTAATTCTTTCGGAGCCCTGAATCTACTTGAAACTCTAAAAAACTAACAAAAATGCAAAAAATAAAATAAAAATAAATAAAAATGCATTTTGGCCTGTTTTCGGTGGATGAACTCCAAAAAAAATGATTCTGTGTTGATGAAGGGTCTAAGCCCTTCCCCAATGCTCCAATAATTTTTTCATACCCCTAGTTTCACCCCAGCCCAAAGAAACCTCGAAAAATGGTGAAAAAAAAATAAATAAATAGGAAAAAGTCCAGTTCTGGCTCTTTTTAGTGAACGAAAATGAAAAAAAAATTGCGCTGGTGTTATTGAAGTGCGTAAACCCTCCCCAGTGCTCACTAACCTCTCTCGGTGCACGACAAAACATCAACAAATTCTCCAAGCAACGTCTAAGAGTCACGAACTTACTGGACACAAATCCTTGACATTCAACCCTCAATTTCTCGCTCTGTCCAGCTACCTCGGGCTCCAGAATCCTAATTTTACTGAAATCATCTACGTAGAGCCCATACTTGGCCAGTGAGTCGGCCATTTTGCCAAACAAAACAACATACTCACATTTTTTAAAAATCGATTTCGATTTTTCCATACAATTTTTTTTTTGAGATTGTGTTCAATCAAACTAATAGTGATACTACACACCAAAACATTTTTTTTGAACATGAAATATCTGAAAAAAAAAACAAACAACTGGAGAATGTTTCTAAGGACTCCCTCAACCCCCTAAAAAATCACCAACTCCTCGGAAACGTACTTGAGGGAAGTACAAGCGTAAAAAGTCCATTTTTTGCTATTTTTATACATAATCTTTAGAAACATTTGTCATGTTTAGAAGCCCTAGCACGCCATCTCTCGAGCCGCTCTTTACTTTGAGCCCAAAAAGACATTCATATCTTGTCTGACATCTCTGCTACAAACTCGGGCCT